TGCTGGGAAAGGTGGAAGGAAAGAGAAGAAGAGGATGACCAGCAGCAAGGTAGATGGACTTACTTACAGTGGCAATGGGTGCAATGTTGGAAGAGGTTAGGGACAGATTGTCATGGAGAAAATCTATCTACATGGTCACTAGGAGTCGAAAATGACTTGATGACACATAATCAGATAATCATTTACTTTATAAATTATGTCATAGTTGGTAGAACATCAAAAGTCCTACTTAATAAAATGGCTAACTTGTCATTGTTAAATTCCACATCACAAGATATCTGATTTTAAAAAATGTTAATACTTGGGCATAGTGTATAAGGAATGAACTTAATCATATTAAGCCCAAAAAGCACATTGTGTCACTGCTTTTTTTAATGCAAACTCTGACGATCTGCCTCAGTAAGAGATCAAAGGGGCCAAATATAAAAGCACTAACTTTTTATAGTGCATCAGCTAAAGTTCTTATTTCTGTACATTTGTAAGAATATAATTCCACCCTTACCTCACTCCACACATTGCATTCAGCTGCCCAGCCACTTGGGGAAGCTTGAAAGAAAACAGTATTGAGTGAAAATCCAGATTCATTAGTACTATTGGATTTTGTCTAAAAACAATCTAGAATTTCAAAAACTATCTTTGATCTATAAGGTCTGGTGAAGATATACATTATGTCTGCACATTTTCAGTTTGATCTTATTAGGGGACCATTATGTACAAGTCCTGAGGAATAGGACAAACCTGCTGGACAAACCTGCTGGCTGTCAGATCAAGCTAGTGACATGGGCAAACAAGAGGCCACATAGGGTTTTTGCAACAATTCAGAAACAGCTCTGGACCTGTTCAGTCTCACTGTTGGCTGTTCTGGGGAGATGATTTGATTTTTTCCCCTCTTTTCTTTTTCTAACACTGCAGCTTTGCAGGGCTTATGGATGGGCCATTTCCCATTGGTGAGAATTCATGTCTCACTTACCATCTTAGCTTCTGGTGTCAAGCTGTATCTCCCTACATACAAATTCACCATCCTTATCTCCCAGTCCACACTGCCCCTCCCATTACTAGTATGCCAGCATACTATTATTTTCAATGACACAGAAGAATGGTGGCTTGGAAGTGTAGCAGTCCTCCCTCAGAGCCGCTGCTCAGATATATGTGCATGTACGAAGCCAGACAAACATACACAACATCAACAAAAAACTGAGTAAAGGGGGCAATAAAAAGATGCTTCCATTTCCTTGTATGGAGTGGAGATTTTCATTGTTCTGGGACAGGATACTGCCTGCCTGCTATTCTTTGCACTCTGTTAGTCGGGTGAATGGGTTCTCTGCATGCTTTCATCATGTTGAGGATTGAGATAGTATAGACAATCATAAGGCAGCTTCAAATTGTTTTTGAGATATGGTGGAATGGAAATGATAGTTCAAAGATCCTGTGATGGGTCTGTATGGAAGTACCCAAAGTAAGGAGTAAACACTGCATATCCTGAAGTACTATACAGATCTTATGCCAAAGCCCTTCAACTGCATGTACCTAACTTCTACTCCATTCCAAAATTGCAGTTAGGCTACGCAATTGCTCCATCTTAATTGCTCTGGAAACCTCAAGATCTCCCTTCCAGAGATCTACTAGATTGAGAGATGTCTATTCTCATGGTATGCACTTTGTGCCTAGAACCTGTCTCCTTCCTCTTTTATTTATTTATCAATTAAATTGATTTAAATGACTGCCCAATTCACAAATATGACTCTGGGCAGGTAACATATTCAAACAACAACAATAATAAAGAAACAATATTAGCAAAGTAGAAAACCCTACAATGGTCACTGAGGATAAACCAGACAAAAAAATTGACAAAGATCTCTATCTTCCCTTTCCCTGACTTGGGATGATAAAAATGGCACAACTATCATTGATCTATAGGCAATCATTCAAATCATTTTAATTACCAAAAGAAATACCATGAATGCCTTAGGAAAATGGTCAGCTGAAATTATTCTTCAGAATACATTCAATTTAAAATGTATGCTTCCAATTGTCGGTGGCATTTGCAGGAGTATTATGGCATTGCTTCATAAGCTCTGCCCCTTTGCACACAGAAGGGTGTGTGTGTGCTTGCATCGCAACTTCTCAGTGCTGCTTTCATCAGGCGGATCCCTTGCCCCCTCCTAAGATGCTGCTGCCCGCAATGCAAGCAATGTGTTTAAAAGACACATTTCTTTCAGTTTTGTACCTCAAAGTATTATAATACAATAACTCTATCATTTTGCATCTCTTGGGAAGAGAACAAATTTGACACCACAAACACCTAAAGAGAACTAAGACTCACCCAGAACTTGATGATCTTGGCCAAAGCTTTCTTCACCAGTGTTGGGATTTTAAGGATTTTCACTTGGAATTTCAAACCTGGATCCACTATATCTCTTTCACTGACAGGCAATAGAGAAGGAAAGCAAGATTGGATATTCTCTCTCTTTGTATGCATTTATCACAGTCATTTACTCTAGCAAGAAGTGGTGTAGACCACTTTTACAGATGAATTTGGAAAGTAAAGCTATCACGAGCTATTCTAGAGCAGACATTCGGAGCAGCAATCTTTGCCTTTCTCTCTACCACATGCCTAAAACATATGGATCTGGCACTCTGTGGAGATTACAAAGTCATGCAAGTAGTAATATACTTTCCCCTCAGTAAGAAAAAGGAGATCACATCTTCTGGCCTCAAGTACTAGATTACTTTAGGCACATGGTAGAGGCAGGGAATATTCATACCACCTCTTCATTCAGGTAAAAGCTACCACTGATAATGTCTTTGCTATATTCCTAACATAGGGGATCAATCACAATATCAAGAACTGTGGACTTTTCAGGCATGGGGCTTGTGGAAGCTGTTATCATATAACACTTTTATATGTTATTAACATTTGAATTAGGGCTTTTTTGTTTCTGTTTTTCCAAGAAAGAAAAGAGTCTAAACATTTGGAGCTGTTCTATTTATACCTTAATTTTCAAGGCCTCTCTTCCCTTCCCACCCTCCTTTTTATTATTATAGTGATTGCTAATTTGAGGTTATATTATGTTAATACTATTGATATATACATACTTTTTTGTTAATTCATTTGATATAATAAAGCAAATGATAATAATAATACCACCATCTCTTGGAAAACAATGAGCTTACTTTAAAATGTGTTTTGAATGAGAACACAATAATATCGAGCAGTGATCCACTATTAGATCCTTAAATGCTCTTTAGCATTCATAACAAAATACTTACAACAAGGCCGTCAGAGCTGAGCCTCCATCAGCAAAAATGCTTTTCAGATAAAGTTCATCCATGACATAATCCACAGAAGGTGGGCTGAAGGGAACTAGCTGCAAATAACAAAGGGTTTTTCAGTTAACCCCCCAAGATGCCAACTAACATGCAAGTCTGGATTAACTATTTTCCTGCATGCTATTTGTCCACTCCGTAAATGAATATGGCTTTCTATATACAAGCACACACACAGAGAGAGCTCTTTCCTGTGGCTCAGTTAGTGCTATTCAGTAGTTCTTCAGCTGACAAGAAAAAAAAATCAGGCGCCAAAATAGAAGTGGGGGGGAGGGAAAAGTAGAGGGAATTTTATGCAGGCTTTAGTTTTAGCAATGCTTTGCTTCAAGCTGCATGTACCAACCAACAAAGGAGCATTTATCTGAACCAGGGCTGGTTTCACAAGAATTCTTCTGAATTGGGGTTTGGACTTTGTGGACTTGACATTAGCACTACACTACCTGCTGATCTCTATCCTCCTATCCTATCATTGGAAGGATGTCATGGTGATGTCCAATTAACAGCAAATTAAGGAAAAGGATTGGTGAATTCCCCAGGCGTGGTTTCCCTCTCTCCACCAAAGCAACAGCTGGTGGGAAAACATCCACCAATCACTCTTCTTAACTGAGTTGGAATTGAAGTTGGACCTGAGAGAAACAAATTAATTTTGTAAGATAGATCAGAGGATGTAGCCAGCTGTTAGAAGTTGCTCCAGGATTTGCCCAAACTCTTGGCAACTGATCGCAAGGCTGTGAGAAGTGGCAAGAGAAGGAGGGGAAGCTGACACCACTATCAGCCTGGGGAAGAGCTCCCAGGACTAGAGATATAGCAAGAAATAGAAGACAACTCTGTTCTTGCTAGATCTACAGTCCCATAGAGCTGATTTCCAGGCAGTCAGAACTGGAAGGGGTGGCAGATCAGATCCCCATTCTCTTCCCACCCCATTCAGCTGGGATGAGAAGAGAGATGGGTCATTATCCACCAGGTTTCTCAGCCTGTGGATCTCCCATCCCTGATAGCTGATTCTGCAGGTTGCCAGGGCTAGAAGGGAAGGACAGGAAATATGGGGAGACCACCAGCACCTGTCAGCAAGCCTGAAAATGAACTAACAGGCTCGGGGGGGGGGGGGGGGAGATTACACAATGAAGTGGGGGAAATCTTCATCACATGGCTCCATTCACAGCTGTTGTTTCAGTTGTTTTTAAATATGGGCTTATGACTGTTCTAGCTGCTTTTGAACATGGTTGTTCTGCTACTTCAGAAGAGCACTGAGCCAATCTTTAAAAGCAGCCCATTAAGAGCTGACAGGTGGTGGGTTTGCTTGCTCCTGTGGGAGAGTTCCTTCCCCCATCACTTTGCAACTGCCCCCCTCCCGACATGTGCATTCAGCTGTAAAATCAAGCTTTCCTAAAAGATAGGTTTAGTGCTCTTATGAAGAGTGGTAAATCCCTGATCAACATCAGCCTGCACAACTGCACCATGAAAACCTACCAACAGCACTGGTCAGCTGCTATTCAGAGATAATTGGTGAGAGGCTGACCCCACCCCTTATGGCCCAACTGACCAAATGAATGGGCAGTGAAGCACATCATTCTGCATGCACAACTAAAGTGTGTAGTTTCTTGGCTGCTTAAGGGGACAATGTAAGCTAAATATGGCATTAATGTGCCTCAGGTGATGAAATGATGAGGATATGGCAGAAAAAGGTGGCCACTGGTTCATGTTCATGCTATAGCTAATGCCCCAAGCCATTTTTCTCACCGAGAGGCACAATAAACATGAACTTTTCTTATACTATATACTGTATATTTGTGACCAGGCTAGAGTTGCAGAGCCCAACAAAAGAGAGCTTTACTTGTTCTACTTGTGTTACTATCTCAATAATTGTTCTTCCCTCCAGTTATTTTCTGTATTTTCAAGGCACATAATAAATTTGATCATTCCGGGCTGAAAACTAACCCAGATTTAACCTCTGTGCACAACAGTCATTACCAGCCTGCTTCTGGCATTGCACAATGTGGTTGTAGAAAAGGTTTCCACTGTGCAACCACCCAGAGAAGTCTAATCAACATTGCCTTCCAACTTCTCACCCTCCTGTATTTTCTTTTTTTTTTTTTTCGTTATTTAAAAAGCACCACTAAGGAACCAAAGAAGAGCTCCATGATGTCTTTCACTTAGCAGTACCTAAAGCCATCCACATAGAAGCCCTCTGACTATTCTGAACCAAAAATAACCCACTATTTTACAAGCAACTAAATTCTACAGTAAACACCAGTAGCAGCAAATGTACACACTGTATGACCAGCTTCTTGAAGAAGCTTCCTGGTTTTATGCACAGCCCTTCTCATGCACGGTGGAAGCATGATATAGCCATCTGAGTCATAATATCCAATCCGTAGAGGTGCAGAGCTTCGGTATATCTAGAATGAAAAAGAACTCTGAGTTACTACCATTCATGGATTAAGAGCTATAGAACCTATCTATGATGGCATCGTTGTTAGTCACAATGTTGTGATTCTCACACTATTGTGGAACTTGGCTTGCAGAGGCTCACAGAGCTGCTAGAATACCACCATCACATGGGTGGTGGGGTACACAGAACAATGGACAAGACTTTTAAATATGTTTCAGCAAATTAACAGGAATAGATCATGACCATAATTCTCAGGTAGCACTACGTTCTTCTTAAATTAGGTAATTTAAGTGAAGTATTTTTTTTTCTCCCTAGCATTTTCCCGCAGGTGCAGGCTCCGCTTTCTTTTCAAATCAACCAAATGTTGATCCATTGGTTGCAACAGGAATTTACTGACCAGCTTGTCGCCCAAGCCTGATGTTGTGGGCTGAGACAGAATGACTGGCCCAAAGTCACCCAGCCAATTTTCATGCCTATGACAGGGTGAGAGCTCAGAGTCTCCTGGTTTCTAGCCTGGTGCTTTAACCACTAGACCAAACTGGTTCTCACTGAAGTCAAGTAATTTTAATCCAATTAAATATAATGTAATTTTAATATAATGTGATTTTTCTGGAAGGTGTTGGCAGGTGACAAGCAAATTGGCGCATATTACCATCTTTGATGACAATGCCCAATTAGCTGTACTTTTGACTGAATCTTTCTAAAGAAATTTGGAAAATCTCCTCACGATCTTTACAATGAATCCTGCTTTGAACTGACTTTTTTCTAATGTACATGAGTAGATGCAATATAAGAAATTGATGCAATGCCTTTTATTAGCTGTGAAATATTTAAAAATTAAACATTAAAATTAAACATTAAAGATGTTTAAAAATTGAGCAGATCTTTAACTGAATTAGTGGCATTTCTAATGGGAGAAATTGCTTTGGTTGAAAAATGGATACAATAAAAAAAAAGCTTTGAAAAGCCCGACAAAAGAGGATAGAGTTTCTCAAACTGGTGCCTATTTATTAGCAATATTAATGTTTTTTTCCAGGAAAAATTAAATATACTTGTCCTTCAGCTCACATGTATGTGTATAGATAGATAATCCCATTGTTATTCGTTTTTTTCTTAATTTTTGTTTTGGTTTTGGGGACGGTTGTATTTTTAGTGTGGACATGGTTATAATCCTGTTTCTTCTAATATTTTTTTATTTAAGGGTTAGGGTTTTTTTTATTTGAGGCACTCATTTATTTATTCATACGTCACATTTATATCATCGCCCACCTTGCACAAAGCGACTCTTTGAAAGAAATCTCACAGTAATTGACAAAATTGTCAACTATGGGTTCAGCAGAGGTCCTATGCAAACCCTCCAGTTTTTTATTTACCTCTTCATTGAACGGCATAGGTGGCACACTGGGATCCAGCTGGAACATGTAATCACACAAGACAGCCTTCATGGCCAGAGCAAGACTGTCCACGTCCCTTGCCATTGGTCCTATTGTTCCTGTAACTTTAATCGAAAGGAGAAGATGCATATGGCATATCTGTATGAAGTAATAGTATATAGCTAATCCGGCTTTTGATTTATTGATCAAAAGCAAAATAAGTTGCAAATTAGGATCATGTCTTTGATAATCATGTCTTTGATTGCTTAAATTACTCTCCATTCATTATTTCTGAAAGATCATGTTATGCTCCCACATTTCTTGTTAATATTTATATTTCAGTCACAATCTACCCAATATCCATTGTTCCTCAGCCCAGACAGGCACTTTTTACATTCATTCAGAACTGATCTCCCACGCCTTTCACTTTCCATAAAAAGAAGATGACATTATTTACTTGAGAGAAAATGAAAAGGCTCCTTTACTCCAGAAGTGCTGTAAAACAGAGAAATATAAAATGCAGACAATATAAATGTATAAGATACATTCACAAATAGCATTTTAGAGGATGCTGCCAACCAGATCATCACTCAGGGACAAATGTCAACATGTATTCTTGTAGAGTTTGATCTGCTTATACAGTATCTGTCTATGTCCTTTCTTCAGAGCAATGTTTCTCCAATTTGGCAACTTTAAGATGTGTGGACTTCAACTCCCAGAATTCCCCAGCCAGCATGGATTTCAGCTCCCAGAATTCCCCAGCCAGCATGTGGAAGTCCACACATTTTAAGGTTGCCAAGTTTGAGAAACACTGGTTTAGAGAAATACAAATGGAAGGAGACCAGAAGGAAAAAGTCATTACATATTCAAATTACATGTTACAATAGACATATATACTTCTAGGGCAAAAGCACTATTTCTCAGCAACTAAGTTTAGTGCTTGATTCCTTAGAACGAAACCATTTGCTAGAGAAGTATTATCTCAGATTTACATTGGATATGCCTAGCATCCTAATGGAAAGTGCACATGGCATCATTGCTAAAATTTGCGAACTCTGATCAAGCTGTTTCATAATTTCTCCAAGATCACCAATATCTCCAGTAGGTTTTTGCAGCAGAGATTAAATGGCAGTTTATTACAGAATTTATAACCACAACATTCCAATGCCAGCAGATCATTATGTTAGTCGATTTTTGCAGGTCCTTTCCAACTCTACAATTCTACATCAAAGTGTGATAATCAGTTGCACAATCCATGATTACTTTAGTACTTACCTCAATCTACCTACGGTTGGCTTCAGCCCACAACTACCACAGAAGCTGGAGGGCAGGCGGATACTTCCACCCACATCTGATCCAAATCCCAAGATGGAACCTCCTCCAGCAATTAGAGCCCCTTCCCCTCCAGATGAGCCCCCAGGGCTTCTCTTATGATCAAACGGGTTCACAGTCTGCCCAAAAACTGGGTTGCTGCAGTCATAGCTGAAAGATGATAGAAATACAGCAGATTGTAGGAACATAATATTTAGAATATAGGATAATCTACTTGTTTCTTCTGAGGATACAGTCTTCAACCCACCTATACAAGTTAAAATCTATTAATCTCAATGGGACTTCTCTTACTGCATTATGAGTCTGAGATCCCTAACGCTGACATTCCTAACACTCTAAAGTGGTCATATGTCAAAAGATTTAATTGATTTTTCAAATTAACCAGATAATATATTTGAAGCAGAGAGCAAGAACCCTGAAGGCATCTGAGTAGCTAACGAGAGAGAGAAACCTGAAACCCCACATTGCCATAAAAGACAGGTCCTAGAACACAGTACATTCCTTCAACATGTTGAACAGATGAACACAGCTAAAAAGAATGGTTTCTGGGCTCTGGCTGCTTATTACTTAAGTGGAATCATAGTAACGATGGGTACATCTCTTAGGATCACTGCAAGCAATTATATAACGGAGACTTCACAAACAAACAAACAAACAAATAAATCTAATAGAAGCTCCCAAAATGCTCTTAAGATCGAAGGTATTTAAGTATCCTGAGGGTTAGCAGAGCTTATACTCTTCTGAAGTACATAGGAAAATTAAGAATTAGAATAAAGCGATTGTCCCATTCTCCAGCAATAGTAAATAATAAATTAGTGCAATATAGTGTTGAGATGTCTTAAGACTGCCAGATTGCAATACTAAAGAGAGGGATTCAGACATAATATACAATGTTGCTGAAATCTGTTTCCTTTTTTTTGGCACCTATGCACACTTCCTGTACATCTACCTATTACTGAAGAGAAACATTCTGATAATGCTAAGCCAGGATTTGTTGTAATTATGATTTACTTTTTAAAAAGGAAAAGATCAGAATTTTGCAAGTAATCAAAATATTCATGGTTTATTTATCAATTTCTGGCTTCTTTTCTCCAGTTGTTCTCCAATTTTTCTAATAATGCCCAGAAGAAATGCACAGAGCACAAACACACAGAATGAACCCAGATTTGTACTCAAACACAACAAGCCATGGCTAAACAAGCCAAGACAAGATTGGGAACAAATAGCTAACAGGCATATGTTCTTAATAACTGCACAACAAGGAGTTAGAGTTTATCAATACACAGGACTTATCAGTAGCTATAAAAAAGAAAAGAATTGACATTTGGGGCATGGAAACTTACTTGAATAAAGATTGCGGGACATTGGTGAATACAAATGGATTTGCTCCCTGCTTCTTTAATACCTTTACTAACACACTGTCCTCTTCTTCCACATCAAGAAAATAAGAAAAGCCACATGTTGACAAATGGCCCTAAAAGTGAAGGAAATATTAAGGAAACGCAGGTGTAGATCAGCGATATATCTCACCACCTTATGATAACCTCTACTTTCCCTTGCTCTTTCTCAAAAGGCCATTTTCTGCAAAGCAGGCTTGACAGAGATCTGCACCACATGAGAAACTGTATACTTTTACAACACAAACTGACACCATAGAAAACACTGTTGCCCAGTGTCATCTATTATTATTGTTGTTGGTCATACAGTCATCCAGATGTTTAGACTGGATTTGGCATTTTTATCCACCTATCAAGTCCTTCCCAAGGACCTGAGATAGGCAGATGTTGTTTGATGGTGTTAAAGGATATAACTATAAGCTGTTCCAAGTAAAGCTGCCTTTTGCAATTGATTGATGGTGATTTTGTCAATGCCGATGGTCTTCAAGTGGTGTTCCAGCTGTTTTGAAATTGCATGTAAGGCGCCTGTTACTATTAGTACTATCTTTGCTTTCTTTTGCCATAGTTGTTCTATTTGCATGTCCTTATATTTTGTGATTTTCTATTATTATTATTATTATTATTATTATTATTATTATTATTATATTATTATTATTATTATTATTATTACTACTACTACTACTACTACTACTATTTACCACCAATACAATTCATATTGCTATATCACTGTTATATCAGAAGCCAAAGGATTAATGGATTTTGTGGAGTTCCATTCAAAATTCTAACATGAAACAGAAGCTGATAACCTGCAAAACGTTTTTAGGTATACTAAAAATTTGCTACCTAAATCAGTTTCTGCTAGGATTTTTTTTATTATTATTATTTTTGCTTAAAAAAAAAAACTATGTTTGAGGTTCCCCTTCCAGAAAATAAAACATTTAATGCCGCTAGTTTAAAAAGAGCAAAAACTGCAGCACCAAAAATCAGCCACTGGATGGGGCATTACAATTCTAGTGGCTCTGGAGGCTGCAAAAATAGGGCTCTCAGGCTGCGTTTTTCCACAGGTCATGGTTTCCCATCCTTTTTCAAGGTCACGCTATAATATGCAAAGGCTAAACCACAGGCAAATGTATATCTTAGAAAAGCTTCTAGTGGTCATCTCTTAGCAGCTGATCCTCCCCCCCCACCCCCCGCCATTGATAGGAAACCAACAAATCACAGAAATGGAATCACCTTGTATCCAATGTGGTCCTTAATGCTGACAGGTACCCCATACAATGCACCCTTCTCCTCCTGCTTTTTCAGTTCCTGAAGATGCAGCTCACATTCTGGAATAAAATGGCGCACACAGTTCACCTCCCTGGTGAGCATTAAAGCCTTTTTAGGAAAAAAGTAGAGAGACAAGGTGGGGAATTAATTAGAAGTGGAACAGTGTGCTTGCCTCTGTTAATAACTTCCCACTCCTTATCCATGATTCCTAGAAAAAAACTCCCCCATTTCTACTGCCTCACTTCCATCAATGTCTTATGTCTCTGATCTTCGCTAAGATCGATCTTGCCCCCCAACTATTCTTATTTCTGTGTGGGGTAAAAGACAAACCAGACTTTCCAATCAGCATTCATTTCTAAAAAATGGAGCAAGTATCCCCCCCCCCATTGGGAATGTAGTGAAGGAGAAAATGCAAAATGCCGTGGCACCATGATCCACTAGAGGGTGTACACTGACCTCCAAAAACTTTACTTTCCTTTTTCTTCTAAATTTGTATTGTTTTTATTCTGTAAAAAGTTCTTCAATAAAAAATAATTTTAAAAAAAGGAAATTCCCCAAAATACACACATGCATATACATATATAGATAAGAGAAGGAATTAATGTTCTGGCAAAGCTATGCTTTATTAAGAAAGTAGATTATCAAGAAATTCAAGAGGCTATACCTTGAGAGATAATACTAGTTCTGGAAATCAAGTACACAAAATAAAAGAAAATGAACTGGAGCAAAATTT